CTTGAAAAAGTGCTCTGGAACCCATAAGGAACTCTGCAGATTTGTTATGATAATTATCTGTCTTTGTCATCATTCTGTACAACCTCCACTGACATTAGTATTGAATATGAAATCTTAGAAATAGAAAGGGAAATCTTATCTCTCTCAATCCATTGAATCCCCGTGAAGTGAGAAGCAATCCCAAATGACTAGCCCAGAGCAGAGTGCCTCCGGTTCACTTAGCAAAGGCCACTCCTTTGAATACTGATAGAGGAATGTATTTACATTTGCTTAGTTCTTTTTCATTAAGGTTAATACAGCAAACAATCCCCTCTTGCTTCAGTGTCTGTTTTTTAAAGATTTCTGGCCAGAGCCTTTATTTTCTTTCAGGGATCCAAATAAGCATAAAACAAAGAGTACCTTCCTAATTTTCCTGTTGCTCCCTCTCTAGGGTGGTGCTAGAAGGGTCACTTAAAAGACATCTACTGGGCTTCCCTGGTGGCGCAGTGGTTGAGGGTCCGCCTGCCAATGCAGCGGATACAGGTTCGTGCCCCGGTCTGGGAAGAGCCCGGCTGGGCCCGTGAACCATGGCTGCTGAGCCTGCGCTCCGCAACGGGAGAGGCCACAACAGTGAGAGGCCCACATACCGCAAAAAAAAAAAAAAAAAAAAAAAAAAAAAAAAAAAAAAAAAAAAAAAAAAAAAAAAAAAAAAAAGACAACTACTCACTCCTTATCTGCTCAGCCACTTCCCAACCTCTGATCTATTCCCTTGTTTAAGGAGAAAAAGGAAAGATATCAAATGCCCCAGTCATTTTTACATTTTCCCAGAAATGGAGGATAATAAAGGAAACAGAAATTACACATATATCAAACACTCTGCTTCTTAGAAGTAGCAAGGGCAAATAAAAGCTAACCTTCAATGGCCTTGGATCTCCAGTTCCCATTTACAGCTGTGAAACATGAGGCTCAGATCTGGAGAGTGTATCATTATTATTAAATGGTAGACAGTAGAGAGTCAGAACTCAAATCTTGGTCTTCAGTTTCTGGATCCTCTGCTTGTTCCAGCATGGATGCCACTGCCCCTCTGGCATCAAAGAACTCGAAAAAGAAGACATATTGCTAGCAATAAAGAGACTATCACCAAGTTCCAGATTCTTCTTCTGATGACTGCTTATATCCATTGTCCTTGGGTGTGATCTGATCTCTGCTTCAGAATAATCCAGGTAAATTGATGCTACCTGCTGTCCTCTGCCCATCTGGGCCCTCCCAGGGGCTTGCCCTCTGCGCTGCCTCATCGGATACCTTCCCTGTTCCAGGGTGACTGCAAAGGCTGGCCTTCCCTTGGCACATTTATCCTCAGCCCCCAGTGAACAAGCAGAGCACACAGTGGACTAACTCATTTATTTCTACTCATTTATTGATGGCCTTTCATAACCGAGTTATTAAGTCATCAATAACTTCAGAGAAATAAATGAATGGATCCAGAACTGGGCCAACAGATATTTAAGACATACACTGAACATTTTATCTCAGATCAGCAGAAAAGTCAATGCTGGGTCATCCATGGTATTTCCCTTACCTGGAAAAACATTTTCTATGTTTCATTCTAATTGGAACCCAGTTTCTTTCTCTACAAAGCAGTAAAATGAATAACATCTCCAGTATCCCAAGTAAATTAAAGTTTGAAAAATAGATTACAAGTGTTAACATTTTTTCCAAAATGCTACCTAGTATGTGTTGCTCTCATCAGCTGGCAAAAAATAACCTTGGAAGATTTCCCAGAAATAGAGTATAAGCTCTTTCAGGAGTGCCTGTAAGTTCTGATATATTCCCCTCAGGAAATAAAATTAAAAGGAGAGGAAAAAGGGAGTGAAAGGCAGGGAGGTTTTCCAAGACCTTGAGAAATCCCTGAAACCAGTATTTAGGAGTCTAGAGAAATTTCTAACACTGAAGTTAAGTTTCTTCAGGGACACTTTCCAACCCATCAGCGTTCACCCAGCTGAGTGGAGCCATGCATTTTCATTAGGTTTGGGGGGATATATAGCTGCTGTATCTCAACCCTCAGTATCCTGACCTCATCTCCTATTCAGATACCCATTTGCCCTAGTTTGCTCTTCACTTACACCCACGTAGATGACAGGAATCAAGGCTGCTGCTGAGAGGCCACAACTGTGCTTGGAAACCTCTCTGTGTGCCAGTTGCCTCAGTTTCCTCATCTGTAAAATAGGAATAATAATATATGAAAAGCACTTAGAACAGTGTCTGGCACAAGGCATCTATTCAAGAAGTGCCAGCTGTTATTGTTGTTGTTGTCATTAATGAAAAAAACAGTATTTTCCACATGATTAGGACCACAGAGACCAGCCAATCCAATTTCCTCAATTCATTTTACAGACGAGGAAACTGCAGCCCAAATAGCCTATCATATGGTGTGTGTGCTTTCCAAAGTTCAAAGGCTGAGTGAGATACCAGCAGAAAGAACATCATCTTTGGAGTCCTTTAGTCCTATGTTCAAATTCCAGCTCTATAGCTTGCTAGCTATGTGACTTTGGACTCATCTCTTGCCTTCTCTGGGCCTCTGTAGGTCCTCACCTGTAAAATAGGTATAATGCAACCTACCTTGAGGGTTTGCTGTGAAAATTGAAAAACAATGACTGAAAAAGTTAGTGACTGGATAATGTGACCAGCACATTGCCTAGGAATGAATGAGCATTCCATAGCTGGAGAATATTATTACAAATGTCATTCAGCTGGGCTGCTGTGGAGTGGGTGCTAGAATCCTGGGCCCCTGACTGCCAGCCAAGCTCAACACTACACAGCCCACTTTAACTTAGAAACAAACAACCAAACAAAAAAACAGGAATTTGCTTACACTCCCTTCTATCAATTTTCTTCAATGACTATCTTGTCATCAATAGATATTGTCAGCTATCGAAATTACCTGTGCCTCTGGATGGATAAAATTTGTAATTCCTTATTGTTCTTAAGGAAAGAAAAAAGAAAAGAAGAGAAAAGAAAAGTGAGAGAGAACTCCCCAGGGCTAGCCCAGAGCTTTACTACCTAGTTTAGTTCAGGGATAACAGTTTTACTCTGCCAGCTGAGCCCCAATGTGCTGACCTGTTTGAGAGACAGTGACTCAGAAACAACTTGCAAATGTTGCAAGATGATGAAGAAAACACTAAGTATAGCAGTGACTTTGCAAATCTGACACCTTTCTTGGGGTAGAAATAGCTAGAGAAAGGTTCAGGGACAGATGGAAATTGAACTGGACACCTTGGTTTCCCTTTTGTGGAAATGCGATGGGTACATTCTAGCTCTAGATAACAGGGCATGGCACTCTGGGTCTATCAGAAAACAGATCTATGAAACTCTGACATCCATGAAAAGATCATAGATGTCCCACTGTGGGACTTGGGTATGGGGCATGTGGTCCATGACCAGGTAAGTTTGAGAAAGGCTTCCCTCTCAAGGATTTACAATGCTCGTTTACAAATGAAAGATTCCAAAAATTTCTGAGTATAACAAACCTGGTTAACACTCTCAAACCCATCCTTTCCTGAACGATCGGCACAGAATTTCCATCAACATCACGTAGAACAGTGGCATACTAAGGAACGCCTTTTAGGAAACTGTTCAGTGTTGGAAATCAGAGATCTTAAAACAACCAATGAGAAAGGCTGCCAGTTTGGGTTTTCATTTTATTGTTGAGTGTCTGCTTCAACCATTTTAGACAAAGGATAAATGGCTGCCTAGAAAGGGAGGGACCACACTTAGCATTCTTGTATTCCCCTTTTGTTTGTGGGGCATGGAACTGCAGCGTCTGCTTTTACATGTGTTTCAGAGAGCAGAATACAGCCTTTTGTGTTCAGTTATTTATCATTACCCATCAGTGGAACTGTCTGGAAAGGGACAAAAAAGCAAATAAACAAAGTAAAGTAAATCACCTTGGGTTCAACTAAGGGCTAGCTTTGGAGCAGCCAGTGGTTTCTCACTGTCTTCCATGCCTCATGATTTCTTGAGAATGTTCACATTATTACTGGACTGTGAACTCCTGATACAATTTGGGCATGGAAACCGAGGGCCCAAACAAAGCAATGAAGTCCATGTTAAGATATAAATGCTTTTAATGATGAAGATAATTACAACTGATTGAAGTCTGGAATTCTCTTATTATGCAAGATGAGATACACAGAAGAGGTAAAAATGTCCCAGAATCTCCTTCATACCACATTGCAGTGTCCATTATCATCTCTCTAAAGTTCACAAAAATTTTTCACCTTTTTCTCACATTTTCATCCTCTACTGTTATATAAACACCTATCAAATGCTTTCTCTTTTGTCCTTTTCTTCCTCCCTCCCACTGTGGTCCTTTGAGGAAAAAAAAAAAAAGAGAGACAGTGAGCATGGGGTCCGGGGAGACAAACACATTCATTCAGTTATTAAATTATTACAGGCTTCTTAACCGGAATATCTATTTCAAAACTTAAGAATAGAAGGGGGAAGATATCAAAAATTAACCATAGGCTTTGGTAGTGATCTATCAAAAATAAAATGTATGAAAACTAGTTTAACAATTATTAGACTGTTATCCCTTTAGTCTTGACCTTTTGGTAAATCGTAAATAAATACCACCCAAATCTGACAGAAATAACTGCAAAATTCCCACAACAGCAATCTGACAGAAATATCATGTTCACTGGTGTCAACAAAGTGGCATTTCTTAGCTGTTTAATAAAATAGGAATTATGAGAAAAAGTAAACGTTGAATTATGCCACAAGAACCTCACCCATATGGCAAGATTCATGAGCTAATCTGCTTGGCAGCAGGCTCAGCATTTAGATGAAAATACCTGTATCTGGAAAGATTTTTTAAAAGTGGTTAAGTTTAATTTGGCTTGACACATATTCTTATAGTTAAAATATATTAATATTATATACATACTGTGTATTAATGTTGATATTATATGTCAATATTTATAGTGATCATTTATCCAATGTCTTTTTCTGTTGTCTCTCGCTAGGAAGCAAACAACTCTGGCAAAAGCACGACGAAAACAGAGACTGCCTGGCTCTTCAGAATGTGGTACAGCTTTGACCACAAGTATCCTTTGATAATGATAATCTCCCAGGTCCTGCTACATGGCAGACACCAACTTCGAGCACTTAATCATTGAGGTCTGCACTGCTGCTTTTCAAGAAACAGAGAAAGGTAAAGCGAATTCACGAGCAAATTTAGCCAAAAGAATGATTTCAAAACATAAAAAGCTGTGTAGTCCATACTTAAGTGTTACAAAGAGCAAAAGTGAAATCTCTCAGAGGCAAATGAATCTGGTGTGTTCGTGGCAATCTACTATTTCCTGATGCCCTATGATAAAATCATAGAGTCCTGAAAAACTGATCTACTTTACTAATTTTACTGTTCGTCCCTTTGTAAAAATCTTACTTCTGGTGGAGTCGGCCAGGGTGACAAAGCTCCTTCATCCTGCTGCCATGAACACATTTGTCTGTTTTTGTTTCATGCTGTAAAAAATGAAGGGGGAGGGGGGAGGGAGGATGCATAGTCCAAGGAGAGGAATAAGTCTGGTCATCACATTGTGAAATAATACTGCTTTGTTTTCCAGGAAACACTTGAGTAAGCTTTTTCTAGTGACGGGCAATTTTAAAATTCTAGCAATCAGTGTAAACATAGTGGCTCAGATACACCTTGCCATGTGACTCACAGAGCTGAGAAGTCAGGCCCGAAGGGCTTTGCCATTGTGAGTTGCAGTAAGCAGTCCACCTCTAATCCCAGGCAAAAGCGCCACAGAAGAAAGGAAAGAACTGTGCTGAAAATTGAATGTGTTGGGTCTTTGTAGTTAGTTTTCCACAGTCACAAATCCCTCTCCTTTCAGGGAGAAAATGTCAGTCACTGGGCGATCTTAAAGCAGCTCAGCAATGATTAAAAGCCACAACAGATCAGAGGGAAAGGAAGAAGAATTAAGAACAGGGAAAAGAAATTCAAAGAATAAGATGAAAAAGAGGTAAAAATGGAAAGGGGAGAAGAAGCAAGAGAAATACAGGAAATTCACAGCAGGAAGGAAAGGAAAGCAAATTCGAGGAATGACTATAGAAAAAAAAAATAATAAGTAAGAGTGAAGTGAAGAGAAGCCCATTGAAGATTGCAGAGATAAGCAAAAGTAAAACAAGGTTAACATTAGAAAGCAATTCTGAAATAGTAGAACATTCCAAGAATGATGAAATGAGGTGTGGAAGGTAGAGGCTTTTTGAGGCTGCAGTTTTGCTTCTCCATATACTCCTGTTATCTATGGGCAAATGCCCTGCCTCACTCAGTCTTGAGCTTTTCATGGACAGTGTAGGTTGCCACCACCCTAAAAGTGGTCCATCTTTTGGCCATTAACTGCCTCTTGGAGGTTCTGGTACCTCATTAACCAGTCACTGGTCTCTCTGAGGGAAGCCAGTTCTCAGCAGGTTACGCTGGTTTGTGTTCCAGTTTGTTTCTCTTCTGGAAACACAATTTTCTCCTGCCATTGCTTAAAGTATCTGATAACCAAATTTGTAGGAAGTTATAAAAAATGTGGCTAAAGAGTACATATAAAGGCTGCTTGGTTATGACAAGATGTACAGTAAGAAAGTGTCTTTTGGGGTTCCAGGACCCGATTTCCAACTTGTGGAAGGGGGGCTTCCCCACCCATCCAAGCAATGCGCCAGGTCAGTGTCCTACAACTCAACTCAATTCTGACATTATGTCCCTGGAGACAGTGTCAGATCTCACAGGTAAGGGCTCAGTCCCACAAGGCTGCCCCTACCGCCACCACTTCAGAAGCCAGTTACAAGCCCAGGTTGTTACCTATGCTTCTGATCTATCGGCTACATGTTGGAGGTTCCCGTGACCTTCTCCTTGGGTTTGATTCATTTGCTAGAAGACCTCATTACTTACTAGATCATTGGTTTATTATAAAAGGATATAACTCAGGAACAGCCAGATGGAGGAGGTGCATAGGGCAAGGTACGGGGAAAGGACATGGAGCTTCCATGCCCTCTCTGAGTGCACCACTCTCCCCGAATCTCCACCTGCTAACCAACCTGGAAGTTCTCCTAAACTCCATCCTTTTGGGGTTTTATGGAGGCTTCATTGCATAGGCACAACTGATGAATTATTAACCATTGGTGACTGAACTCCATCTCCAGCCTCTCTCCCCTTCCCCAGAGGTGATGAGGGCGAGCACTGAAAGTTCCAACCCTCTAATCACATGGTGGGTTCTCCTGGCATCCAGCACCCAACCTTAGTTGGGGTCCAAACGTCATCCATTAACATAACAGAAGGATGCCTTTTTGCTTTCATCACTTAGGAAATTCAACGGTTTTAGGAGCTCTCTGCCAAAACTGGGGATGAAGACCAAATTTCTATTTCTTATTATAAATCACAATATCACAAAATGGCAAATCAGAAATTAGATAAAAGATGTTTTTGTTCAAATTCTGACAGTGTTGTAAGGAATGCTTTATAATGAAGAAAAGGAGCAAAATGGAAAAGATAACTTGGAGACAAGAAAATGTAAGTAGGAACCCACCCAAATTTTTAGCTTAGAGCAGTGACACTAAATTCAGATGATGTCATAGTTTTTGTCTCACATTTCACCGGCGGGTTATTTCCATATGATTATGGACAAACTAGCAAAAAATGAAAGCAGACTTACACTCTCAGTAATATCTCTTCTCATGGTAATTTGTCCTCCTGTGCATTCATCCTAGAAATTGCGGGGCTACCATCACTGCATAAATATATTTTCACTTAGACAACAGAGTTTTTATATCCTAGTTATGCTCTGAATTCATACCCAGAGTGTAGCAAACCAACCAGTTTCCACTCTGTAAATTCTTGATTTATCCATATTTTTAGAGAAGATTTATCCCCTTGGCATTTATTGTCATCCTGTTGGCCACCTAGAACCCAGGGGATGTGCCCCATGGACCTCATGGGTAGACTATGCCAGCTGCTGTCAATGTAGGGATGACCCCCCCAACTCCGGGGTCAGATTGCTTGGCTGAGGCCAAAAAGAAAGTGTGAGGCTGAAAGAAATGGATTATGCGGTTTGGAGCTGTTCAAGTTTCATTTTAGTAAAACTGCATCATGCAAATGAGGCATCATAAAGAATTACCAACAAAAGAAAAAGAAGAATAAATGAGCCTTCATATGCACCTTTGTAAGTCAGGATTCTCCAGAGAAACAGACACAGAACCAGTCAGGAGTACACACACACACACACACACACACACACGCATACATACATATACATATAATACACATACACATACACATAGGTTTACTTCAAGGGACTGGCTTATGTGTTTGTGAAGGTGGCAAGTTCAGAATGTGTAGGGCAGGCTCTCAGTCTAGAAACTCTCCAGTAGGAGCTGAAATGCTGCAATCTTAAGACAAAATTTCTTCTTCCTCAGGGAAGCCTCAGTTTTGCTCTTAAGTCCACTCAACTGATCAGATGAGGCCCACCCACCTTATTGAGGATCATCTCCTTAAAGTCAATTGACTGTAGATGCACCTAGAATATAAATTCACAGGAACACCTAGATTAGGGTCTGATTGAATAACGAGGTGGCCTAGTCAAGTAAACATGTAAAACCAAGTGTCACAGTACTCAATTCACATTGAACTTATGCCCAATATTCAGACCCAAGGATACAAAGATGCTCTTAACTCACCATCGGTATCAATAAAACAAGTCACTATTGCTCATATAGTTTTGTTTTCTTTTTTTCATAGCATAATTAATACATATGCATTCCCATAAAAAAGCTACAGAAAAATAAAAATAATAAAAATTAACATTCCATAAGGATGAACCATGGCCAAGTACCGTGTTGAGTGCTTTACATTATAATTTCATGTCACCTCCACAGCTCTGTAAGAGGGTGGCTCCAAGGGTAGAGTACCACACAAATGGACTGCTGATTGTCTTGGCCTCTGACAAAATAGCCTGTGTGGGCTTCCCTGGTGGCACAGTGGTTAAGAATCCACCTGCCAATGCAGGGGACACGCGTTCGAGCCCTGGTCTGGGAAAATCCCACATGCCACGGAGCAACTAAGCCCGTGTGCCACAACTATTGAGCCTGCGCTCTAGAGCCCGTGCTCAGCCACAAGAGAAGCCACTGCAGTGAGAAGCCCATGCACCGCAACAAGTAAAAATAAATAAGCCGGAAGCCTATGGTGCCAAAATTGACGATTAGTTAAGATTTCACTATGATTCCCTGTGGGCAGCAATTCTGAGTCTTGTGGTGCAAAGCAGAAATTGAGAAGGGGGCGATGAGAAAGGGAACCATGTTACTGAGCACCAGTGCTTTGCCATCGAGAACATTCTTTTGTTTAATCCTAATAACCACCCTTTCGGTTTCATTCTCACAAAGACTCTCTTTGAGATGGAAGAAACAAAGTCTCCAAGAACTTATATAACTTTCTTAGGTTTCCATAGCTTAGTGTCAATTCCATGATCCAAGCCCGGATCTGTCAAAATCTAAATTAGGGACTTACCCGGCGGTCCAGCGGTTAGGACCCTACGCTCCCACTGCAGGGGGCTTGGATTCGATCCCTGGTAAGGAAACTAAGATCCCACATGCTGCACGATGCAGCCAAAAAAAAAAAAAAAAGTAGACTTCGAAACACTTCAAAACAAAGACTGTAATGACAAAGAAAGGCATTACATAACGATAAAATCCATAAATATACTTAAATGAACTCTCTCACTGACAACTCTATGTCCATGATAGCTCTTACTTACACATATACCCCATTTCCATACGTCCAGAATGTCACTATTAAAGCAATGACTGTTATGACTGCTTATATTATGTCATACAGAGTTCACATCCCAAGCAGCTGTTGAAGATATAGGAGGTGATAAGGTTAGGGGTCCTGGTCGGTCACCCTAAGAACACCACCATAAAGGAGTCTCCAAGTTTCTGAATCACGTTCTCAACTTTTCAAAGGCAGAAATTTCGTTCAATATGCCAAAGACTCTGAGAATGGTTTAGTTTCATAGAAATGGATGCACTCTAGCCAAGCTCAAGGAGGCACAAGTAGAAACCAGA